TAACTTTCATGCACATTTTTGAGTGTGAGTGTTTCAATGGAGTAAGATATAAACTTAATCACGTATTTATGGAATTAGATTCTGCATTTGATATATACCTTTCTTAACACATTCTCATTCTTTTTTTAATGTCGTGATACCTTTGTTCCTTTTATACACATGATCACAAAACCGAGATATACATGCTTTGTACATAAATATAATATCCATAAATGCAAGACCAAAAAAAGTGTGTTCACGATTAATGTGTTCAATCTTAAAATTGCGCAAAATGAGTTCAATAATTTTCGTTTATTTCAAAATGACATAAAATTTGCACGCGTACCACTAATAAATGTGTGAGCGAATGCAATTTGAAGAGCAGCAAATGCATGGAAAATTAAAAAAAAGTCAATATTCATTACGTTTCAAAAGCATTGATTTTTCAAGCCTTTTGATCATGATGACCTAGAGTAGATACTCAACATTCAGCACTATTTATATTCAATGAAATCAATTTTTCGTTAGATGTTAGTTAGAATCTGCAAATAACTTCGATTTAAAATTTTAATTAGTCAAAAGTTTCTTAATTACAAAAAATACTTTTAAAATGTAAGCGAAGACTAACGACAGTACAGTATGAAATAAAAATCATCTTTCCATATGTAATTAGGACTATCACTATTCACCATCGATAGTTTTAATATAGCTACATGAGCTGTGGTGGCTCAGGGGATAAAACCTATCAGGTGACCAGGTTCGGATACTTGCTATGGCTATTCGTCAAGAATTCTGCTCCAAGCTCGCACCGACCACAGTGCTGACGTAAAATATGCTCAGTGGTAGACAGATTATGGGTTAGAATCCCTTGCCGTTAAGCTAACCATGGGAGGTTTTCCTCTCCATGTAACGCAAAGTAGTGTTAGTTCCATCAAAAAGTCCTCCACGAAGGCAAATTTCTCCCAATACTTGATTCAGGAGTCCCCTTGTCTTCGGGATTGGGTTCAAAACTACAAGGCTACGGACTAGATTTATACCATAAATTGGGGTCTGCTGTTCGACAACGATTATAAAATGAAATATAGATAAATAGTTCTTTTTTCTAATTAAAGAGCACAAATATAGTTAGATTGCTGAATTTAATGTTTTTTAATAATATTTAATCAGTTTTTAAGTATTTTTCTAATAATAATATTTCAATATCGTTCATAAAAAATTTAAATTTTGCAAGACAATTTTCTATTGGTCTTTTATTTCTTAAGATAATTTTAAGGATTTAATTTCCTGCTTTTTTTATTCAAAAAATAGTTTTTTCGCTAAAAATAATTTGATTTTTCATTCAAGTTATCAGCTTTATATTAGAAGCAAATATTTTCAAAAATCATTTTGTCTCATTCAGAAACAATTTTTTTCAGCAATTACATGAGCCATTTCTCTTTTGTTTAACACAAATTAAATAATATGAATGCTTTTATACGTCTCTCTGCACATCTTGAAGTATTTTCACTAAAATAAAAAAATCATAATTTTTTTTCTTAAAAAAGCTCCTATATATATTTTTGGAATACTTGTAAAAATTAAGATACATACTTATGAATTGGGTTGAAAAATAAATAAAAAATAAAAATAAGGGAATGAAAAAAAATGCAAATTGAAAGATGTTTCCTTTTTCTCAATCTTTAAGAACTTAAAACATATTTTTCTTCCATAAAGGACATATTAATCAGCGAAAAACTTAAAAACAGATGCTCTGATTGACTGGGAACGGCTCGTTTAATATTTTTTTGCCTCTGGCGCTTGTCCAACAAAAATCGATTTCACGTAAACTGGCAAGCATATTCAAAATATGAATTAAATTGAGTCACTCCCAGTCGAATTTGCTAATTGGCTCGTCTAAATAGCCTATTATCAGATAGATCTTCTTACTAAGAGATTAATACCGGTCGGGGACTGGATAGATAAATCTGTCAAAAGCAGTCTACTCATTTTACATTATTAAATATCATTTTATCTAAAAAATAAAATAATGAAAAGATTCAAAAATGTTCTTTCAACACTACCTATCTTGGAGAAAATCATCAATTTGTGTATTACGTATTTACGTAATTGAGAAAATTAATCGCAATTTAAGAAATATTAACTGCTTAGTTACATAATGCAAAAATTAAATTTTCGGGACAACCGCAAAGTTATGGAAAATTTCATTTTCTTAATTGAATTTTATATTTACTTTAGTTTCAAAGTAAGTACATATCTGAAGCTTCAGTGCTGAAATGTAATTTTTGAAAGTTTAATTTGATCTTTTCAGCCAAGATTTTAAATTCTGGGAAAAGTAAACAAATAATAAACCCCCATCTTCAAAAGACTTTAGAGGTAAAATAAAATAGCCTGACCGTTTATAAACTGCAAGCGCACACTGTAAAATACTCCGGATAAAATAACGGCATCAAGTATGCACAACTAAATTAAACTCAGTGGCGCAACAGCCCATAGGGGGCCAAGGCTTACTGTGCCCATCTCAGTTTTCTTGACCTTAGGCTCTAGGGTGCAGGAGCAGATGTTCCGGTCAGATGGTTAGCCGAACGCGGAACCCCCAGTGTTTAGTTCCCAAGCATGCTTGGTACTCATTTATCGACCCATTGAAGGGATGAAAGGCTGAGTCAACCTTGCCCGACCCAAGGATCAAACCAGGGTCCTGGGGCACGGCAGCACGATGCGCTACCGGGCGTCACAAAGTATGCACTTTGAGTGTAATATTCAGCAAAATTCAGTGAACTGTAAAATTTATTGCTGTAAAGTATTTTATAAAATATTATATTTACTGTAAAATATTATACCGTAATTTTTATAGTAATACTTATTCAATTAGATAAGAATGTGATTCAATGATTTTACGATAAATATAAATCTAAAAATTACAGTATAGCAGTTTTTTTTTGCTCCGTAGCATGTTCCAGTAAAAATGGATTTAACAGTGTTATTTTAAATATATTGAGAAAGAAGTGAGTACAACTTCTGAGACATGTGATCTAATGAAAATATTTTCACGTATTAGACGTTGTTGTTGTTGTAGTTCATTTACGTCGCACTAGAGCTGCACAAAGGGCTATTGGCGACTGTCTGGGAAACATCCCTGAGGATGATCCGAAGACATGCCATCACAATTTTGATCCTCTGCAGAGGGGATGGCACCCCNATATTAGAAGCAAATATTTTCAAAAATCATTTTGTCTCATTCAGAAACAATTTTTTTCAGCAATTACATGAGCCATTTCTCTTTTGTTTAACACAAATTAAATAATATGAATGCTTTTATACGTCTCTCTGCACATCTTGAAGTATTTTCACTAAAATAAAAAAATCATAATTTTTTTTCTTAAAAAAGCTCCTATATGTATTTTTGGAATACTTGTAAAAATTAAGATACATACTTATGAATTGGGTTGAAAAATAAATAAAAAATAAAAATAAGGGAATGAAAAAAAATGCAAATTGAAAGATGTTTCCTTTTTCTCAATCTTTAAGAACTTAAAACATATTTTTCTTCTATAAAGGACATATTAATTAGCGAAAAACTTAAAAACAGATGCTCTGATTGACTGGGAACGGCTCGTTTAATATTTTTTTGCCTCTGGCGCTTGTCCAACAAAAATCGATTTCACGTAAACTGGCAAGCATATTCAAAATATGAATTAAATTGAGTCACTCCCAGTCGAATTTGCTAATTGGCTCGTCTAAATAGCCTATTATCAGATAGATCTTCTTACTAAGAGATTAATACCGGTCGGGGACTGGATAGATAAATCTGTCAAAAACAGTCTACTCATTTTACATTATTAAACATCATTTTATCTGAAAAATATTATAATGAAAAGATTCAAAAATATTTTTTAAAACTACCTATCTTGGAGTAAATCATTAATTTTTGTATTATGTATTTACGTAATTGAGAAAATTAATCACAATTTAAGAGATATTAACTGCTTAGTCACATTATGCTTATAAACAAAAATTTAATTTGCATGACAACCGCTAAGTTATGGTAAATTTCCTTTTCTAGATTAAATTTTTATATTTATTTTAATTTCAAAGTAAATACATATCTGATGTTTCTGATCTAAAATGTATTTTTTTAATATTGAGTTTGATTTTCTTAGCAAGGATTTTAAATTCTGGGAAAAGGAAACAAATAATAAGCCCCCATCTTCAAAAGACTTCAGAGGTAAAATAAGTTACGGTGTAAAGTTACCATTACCTTTACCGTAAGTTACCATTGAAATAGTTTGACGGTTTATAAACTGCAAGCATACACTGTAAAATACTCCTCTTAAATAAACGGCACAAAGTATGCACTTTGAGTATAATATTCATCAAAATTCATTGTACTGTAAAATCTATTGCTGTAAAATATTATATAAAATATTATATTTACTGTAAAATATTATTCCGTAATTTTATATTAATACTTATTCAATTAGATAGGAATCTGATTTAATGATTTTTCGATAAATATGACTCTAAAAATTACGGTATAGCAGTTTTTTTTTATTCCGCAGCATGTTCCGGTAAAAATGGATTTTATAGTGTTATTTTAAATATATTGAGAAAGAAGTGAGCACCACTTGGGAGACTTTTGATTTAAAGAAAATATTTTCGCGTATTCGAACTTAATCTTAAAGGTTTACAGGCCGTAATTTCGTAATTTGATGATGAATTTTTTTACAGTGCAACAAAGATCAAGAGTCACAGAACAATAATGTGAATTCGTTTTAGCATCATTCAATTTTGTTTTTTGAAAATTGATCTCGTGTATTTTTTAGACATACATTTTTTTTTAATTACACCATCTTTCCATAACTTTTTATTCACCCCGTGTAATTAGTTTCATTTGCATACATCTAACAAAATATTATGAAAAATGCTTTTGAAGTGAAAAAAATGTTTTTTTTTTCAAAATAATATCGATGGGATCCTCAAACTGCCATCATTATTTAATTTTTCTTGTCATTTATTATTACCAGGTTTCTTACCAGCTGTTGATGGCTCTTCCAGAGGAAATTATGGAATTATGGATCAAGTAGCAGCTTTGCACTGGATTCAAGAAAATGTTGCGGAATTCGGGGGTGATCCAAAAAATGTAACAGTCTTTGGACATGGACATGGAGCAGCTTGTGTTAATTTGTTAATGTTAACTCCCTTGACTAGAGGTAATGTGGATAAAAATTTCAGAATATCACTACTCTAATTTGCATTTTATTTGAATACACAAATGAAATATTATATAAATTAAAATTGCTATTCAAAAGAAAGCATAAATTGTTTTGCATATTGATCTTAAATTTATTTTTTCATCTGATACCTTATCTTAATAATTTTACCTTTGCTAGATATAGGTTAACTTTGAACCAATAAACAGATGTTTACATAGAAGTTTCTCGTAATGTTGTTCAAGAATTTTTAAGTTATCTACATAGCTAAGTTCATACTTGTTCATTCTAAAAGCATTTGGAAAAATAATATTTTTTTTAAGCTCAAACTAAACTTTTATTTAATTTGAAATAGAATCTACGGTATAAAATTTAACGTTAAAAAAGGATTTTACGAATCTTGCCCTGAGGTTGTCTGTACGTAATTTTATCCTGATATTTTTACAGTGTAATACGTAATTCCTACGTAATTCATACTTTTAATGCTGCCACAATTATGTTCGTTTATTTCAGAAAAAATAATGTTTCTTTAGTTTCGGTGCCATTTCAAATTTACAAGCATCTTACGTAATATTTATGTTTCGAGAGTGCTTCGTAACTTGGTTCTTGATTTTTATTTTACGTTCAATGCGCTACTCTGAATCTCCGAACAAATCTTGAATCTAGCCGTTTGATGGCCCTACAGTGTTAGAAACTTATTCGCAAAAATGATTAAGAAACATTTTATTTCATTGTTTTTTCACCACATTAAAAAAAAAATCAATCAAATAATCATAAATAAGATGGTAATCAATCTGTCAAATGTGAGAAAAACCACATATTAAATGATTTCACCTAATGCGGTTAAAAAACTAGAATTTTATTGCACCAACTAAGCCCACCAAATGAAGCCGCTTAGTGCCTTACTACTGCTTACATATTATAGACAAGAGGATTATTCTGTCAGTTCAATGATCGAGAAAAATGGGATTTGAATCCCAGAGTTAATACCACAGTATTCCCTTCAACACACAATTTGTGTCCTGCACTTTCCAATGCCCATTACCTAACAAAAGGCAGAGCTGCTACGTTCAGTTAAATTTCTCTTTTATGGTTTTGAAACCTTGCTGGTTGTAAATGGCTAAAAAACCGTTTAGGTTTGTATTCATAATTTTATAACCATACTTGTTGTAAGTGGTTTCAAAACCATTAAGGTAAAAAAAAATCTTGACCGTTAACTTTGCAGTTAATTTGATGGATGTACTACTGCCAGTTATTTTAGAATGAAAATTCTAACAGCGTATAGATATACTTTCATGTAATAGCATACGACATCTTTAGGTGCGTTTTCCATTTGGACGCAAACTTGCGTGTTCGTAAAGTCACTTAATTATATAATGTTATAAATGCAATGTTATAAAATATATGATAATAATAATAATAATTGATATATAATGATTTATATATGTTATAAAATCTATGTTTTGCGTGTCTGCTTATTCAAGTGCTTTTCTATGTGCGTATACACGTCATAGCATAATAATTTGACACTTGATAGTTTGACAAAAAAATTCAGAATGTCTTTAATGTTCGCTATTTCCATTAGAACATTCTGCTCCGAAACGCTTAAATGGGATTACTTAGTGGGTTCTAAAGTAGGAAAGAGAATTTTCTTATGGGATTAGCACTGATTTGTGTTGCAATTTTAAACTGCAGATGATTCTTTCTATCAATTGTTTTAAAGACTATTACCATTGCTCGCTCAGTTCAACGATTCCCGAAGCTCTTACTAATTCGTCATTGCTTTATTTTTTCCATTTAAAGGGCGATATTTTTTTTATAACAGAAATGAATAATTTTTTATGAAATTATAGAACTTTTTTTAAAATGAAATGGAAGATAACTTGGATTAAAGGAATAAACGACTGTACTCGAAAACAAAACTTGAACTTAGGTAATACTTAGGTTAATTATTAGTTAGGTTAGGTAAAATTAGATTGAAATAACTAAACTTTTGCAGAATGAACGTCTCTTACAGAATTAACTTTCACAGAATGATGCAAAAAACGAGATACTTTCAGTTTTCAACAATATATAATAATAAACATGCATGATCTAACATTTCAAATTAGAAATGGTTCTTATTTCCTTTGTGACATTTACAGTTTTAAGCATTTCCATATAAATGTTAAAATTTATCTTGCAACATCTAATTTCTGACTCTCTTTTTTTTCATCTACTTTTTCCACTTTTGACGCTAATTCCAGCTCGAAAATAAGTTTATAATTTCGAAGAAAAATTTTGCATTAGGTTGAAAAGTGAAAATAGCTCATCCCCACGAATTTCAACTATGTTGTTCTGTTTTAGCGTGGTATTTTTTATTACAAGTTTAACAGTTGGTAATTCTTGAATTAATAACAAAGACGCAGCTTTAAATTGCATTTAAAATTAAATTATGACATGCATAACAATTTGAGCTGTTATGTTTTGGGTCACAGAACATTTTTCATTTAAAGTTCATTTCTCCTGCATAGATTTACAGTCGTTGTTATGGAGTTTATCAAGTTGTTAAATGGCATTGTTAAATACGTAATACATGATTGTACAATAAATAATATTTTATTGTTAGCAAAATTAAATCCATCGAATAAATTAAATAAAATCTTTAGATTATAAACTCAAATTTTTAAATAAAATTTTAAAATTCATTTATTTTTATAGTTCTTCGGAAGCATGAATAGGTGTAAAACTAACTCCTGTTTTGCATTTAAACTTCATATTTCAGACAATGCAATGCAAGATCAATTTTTATCTTTTTGTAAAACATCTCTCCTTCCTTAATTTGTATTTATTGTTATGCTCTAATAAATACAACTTTCTGTTTAATTATGTAAGCTTATGTGCGTTTCCAATTATGATTGAATAATAATACTCGTGCGTTTATTTACTCTAATAAGAGTTTAAGAAACCTTTTAAATTTGTTGACAGTGATTTAGGATTCTTTGTCCCATTCTATACAAATGAGGCATTTTTGTAATCTTCATTCATCTGCATTCTGTTCCTCCTTAATTGGGAGCATTTTTGAAAAGGAAAAATAAATCGAAGTAGATGTTCTTATGTTAATTAACCTTTGATTATTTTTAAAATTATTTGCTCATCCATGACTTGCAATTGTCATTGAAATGCGTCCCATTAAAATAACAAATTTTAAATCATAAGTTGAACAATTATTGGTCAAACTTAAGCNTAAACTGAAATGTATCCTTGGACCCTTTTCAAAAATGTCCCTTAAAAACAAAAAATTCATATACACAACATATATTCGACCGATCTTAACTTATGCATCCCCAGCCTGGTGCAACTTGAATAAAAAGCAAACAAAGAAATTAAATACTTTCCAAAATAAAATTCTAAGAAAAATGAGTGGAATGCCATACTTCATAAGAAATAGTGCCATCCATAGAGATTTCCACATTAAAACCTTAACTGAAACAATTGTTGATCTAAATTCCAAATTTTTTAAAAATGCGATGAAATGCAATGCAGCAAATTTTTATAAAATTTTTGAGGCAGATATGTTAATAGAGGACTCTAAAATCAGACCTATTGCATACTTTCTAACTAGTGATGCAATACTTTCGACAAATTTTAATTAATTTTAACAAATATTAATATTAAAAAAGGCTTTTAAAAGGGCCAATTTAGTTGCAACATTTACCGCTAAACTTTATTGGCGCTGATTGCATTATCTCAATATTATTTACTTGATATTTCTCCGCTAGCCATAACTGGCGCTAATTTTCAACTTCAAATGTAGGCGTGGCTTTGAGCGCTGCAGTCGCGCACATCTAATATTAAACTAATATTACATTAGTTTCCTTCTTTTCTCTCTCTCTCTCTCCTTCTCTTTTACCACAGATACAACCAAGTCAGATCTCACTAGTACCAGATGGAAGGGTAAAAGGCCCCTACGGGGCATAAAGGCCCTGAGCAATCCCAAATGATGATGATGAAAGAAGAGTTCTTCTGGGCGCAGACTGGTTCCCGTTGTTTGTAAATTCCTGATGTTAATAAATTATCAAAACCTCATGTTGTGATCTTCATTATATTATTCATTATTATTTTTTATTATTTTATTCAATAATGATAAAAAAAAAATTGAAAAATAAGGTATAAAATTTTTTACATAATTCAAAAGAATTTAATTTTAGGTGTCAAAATGAAAAGTTTGAGTGAAATTGGTCTAATATTTCCTGAGAAATTGAATGAAAAAAAGTCAGGTAGTTAAAATAGAACTATTCGACCGAATCTGCTCAAATTTTGTATTTCGCCGTGTAAAATTACATTCTTCAAAATGATGCAGAAAATTTTATACCTTATAATTCAAAATGTTTCAGCTATTTAATAAAATAATAAAAAAATAGTAAATATTTACTAAAAATTTCTTTTAGCATGAAATTATCTTTGGATAAATGATTATCATAATTGCGTGCAAGAATTTTTCAAGTAGCTAAAAAAAGTTTTCGTGATACAGCGGAATACGTAAAAAGTAAAGATAACATTAAGGGGTCCATACTCTCCCGTCAAAACTATTGGGACATACTTATTTCCTAGATTGCGGCTACCCCCTATACTTAAGGGGTCAGAAATCTGAATCTGCTGAAAAAATTTGTGTTTATTCTGAGAAAGTACGTTTTTATATCTGATTTCAAAATTTAATATATCGTCTTCATTTATTAATTAGCACATTTGAGGTCACCCCCTGACCCTCTGAGAACTTCCTATAACTTGAAAATCCCATTATTAGATCAAAATTTAGTCAGGATGGTCCGTTTTTTTGCTCATTATACATGCGCAAACGCTTTGTAATTCTAATCATTTGCATGTCATGCCTCTCGATTAATAAGACATTTTAATGAAAAGAAAAACATTCGAAAATTTTATTTATATAATCAATATGTTGTTGTCTTGTCTCAATATAATCAATATATAAATAGTGATTCAAAAAAGGGATAAATTAACTTACATGTGAGTGTTTAAGATCCTATTTTAACAGTTTTTTTTGTGCCACCTAATGCGGAACAATAAATCACCAATAAGTTTCGGCTTTGAAATTTTGCATTAATTTTCTTCCATTGCAATAGCTAGGTGTAACAGCTGTTAGAAATATTCTATCTTGATTCGCACAAGAGTCACGTGATTTCATTATGAGGACAAACATGAGCTCTATTATACATAAACTATACGTGATCTATCCAGGGTGCCCGTACATTTTAAGATAATTTTATCTGGGTTTTTTTATAGTGCAGTAATTTAGAAATACAAATTTTGATCATGAATTTTAAGTCAGACTTTGTAAACATTCTGAACGGGAAAAACTATACAAGTAAGAATTTAGATAGAGCATCAAGATTATCAGAAAATTCAACTAATTTTAGTTTGAGTAAAATTGAAATAAATGATTGAGGAATCACTACCTCAACTAATTTTTTAACATTCAAAGAAATCATTTATAATGTTTGTGAAACTGTGTCAATTGAACTTGCGTCAATTGTGTGAATTAAAAAATATATAACAACTATTAATTACTACCAAAGTTATTAGCAAATTTTAAATTATATGATCTAAATAATATAATATTATTTCCAGAAAATGTGTTAAGTTTTTGTTGCCTAAGGTCTTACATGTTTATTCATTGGTCAAATCTTTATGAATTCAACAGTCATTTTATTGAGAGGGTTAGATTGAGCTGGGTATTATTATATTGCCTGTATTTTAGGGGACATGAATTTTTATTTTCATGATTGCAACTCGTAAAATTACAGCATTTTTACATTTCAAAAAATAATAAAACTTTTTTTTAAGATATAAAAGCCTGCGTGGCTTTTACGTCAGAGCCTTCTCGCAGAGGCATAAAAATAGATTCATAAAGAAATTCCCTCAGATCTCGAAGTGCTTATTTGCTGTTGTATACATCAGACAGTTTTATAGCTTTCATAAGATGAAATGAAAGAGATGTGAAATCGCCAATCTATCCATATTCACTTATTTCTTTGCCAACGTTTTGGAAAGTGTTTTCCTTATAAACACTGATTTTTTTTTCATAGTAATAAATTCGAATTTATATGAAACTTTCGTACTTTTAAGTTTACATGCAGCTCTACAGAATTTTAATATACATATGCGAAAGAACTACTGAAAGTGTTATGAAAATGAAACATCTTATACTTGAAAACTACTAGATGAAAAGTGTTTTTTTTTCACTGTCTCCGAAGGAATGGATTAATATAATATATATAATAATGCAAACGTATAATATTTCCTATGTTGTAAAAAAGATGTAAGGAAAATTATTTGTATTTGAAATAATAAAGAGTAGATAGCATTGTATTAAAATACTCAGATTTCACCATAAAATTATAATAATAATGTTTTTTTTATTAATTTCTTACTTGTATTACGATAAATTTTTCTATCGTTATGTGGCAGATTAAGTAATACATTTAAGAACTTTTTTTTTATTGATTTTCGTCTTGGCAAAAAAATATATGGAGAGAGTAAATTAGCATTAAAGACCTTAAACTGTTCGAGTACGTTTCTGAACAGTTTTTGAATAGATAATTTGGCAGCTAACATAATAGTGTTAATTATTATTAATTTCTGACTTGTTTTTCGATAATTTTTTTTATCGTTATGAGTCAGATTAATTAATGCATTTAAAAACTTAATGTTTTTTCATTGATTTTCGTCTTGGCAATAAGAAGTTAAATAGTCAATAAGTATTAAAGAATTCAAACTGTTTCAGCATGTTTTTAGAAAAGTTTTCAAATAGAAAATTTGTAAGGCAAACATATGGTATAAGCAATAAGTACATAATAATTTACTAACCAACACTTAAAGGGTGAAATGATAGCAAGGCGAAATGATCTATAGATCAGCATCTTTAACTTTCATTTGAAATTTTATTCCAATTTTATAAGAACTTTTCAACGATTTAAATTTTTTTAATAACATCAATATCAATTAAATTGAATTATTAGAACAAAATAGTTAAAATATTTAGTTTTAGATAATACACTTATATCATGAAATCTTGAATTCTAAAATGCTGAATTAATTTAACCAAAAATTAAAAAAAAATATTATGCGTGTAGCGTAACATGAACATAAGGATGCATAAATGTTCATATAAATTTACAAAAAAGAATTGAATATACATGTGTTTTATTGCCTTCATGTTTGAAAAATAGAATTTATATATAAAACTAGAAACGTATATGTTTTAACTAGAAAAAAGGAAATTTCTTTTATTTAGAGAATAATTTATTTAAAGAAAATGGACTAATATTTTTTGCCATAAATAAATTAAAGTATTTTCTTAAAAAAACATAAATATTTGCACTGAATCTGAAAAATACTAAAAGCATTTACTGGGAAAAAAGTCCTTAGTCAAGCGTTTTAATTTATTTTGGACATTGATTAAAATGCTCACTTAAAAATGCCCGTCTTCAGTAAAAGACCAACAAAAAAAAATCACAGATAACATAAAGCACTTAAGATAAAATTGATCGTACGATAATGCATTTGAATAGCCTTAATGTGAAAAACAGCTTCTAAATACATTATACTAACAACATAAAGAATGATGAGAAGCTATTTGCTAATGGACCATTTAACTAATTTTATGAAAAAGTAAAAACGATACTTTGTCGTTAATAAGAGGCAAAAACCAGAAAAAGTCTAATGATTTATCAATTTTTTTCCTCGTGAAATGTTTTCTCACCTGCTTTTTTTAAATAGATATTTTATTTTATAATAAATAAGATAATCAGCCTTTTCTTCTAAATGTTTTAATGTGAAGAATTTGATACTTATAACTTAGTTTTTATATAGTTTTTAATTTTTAATTTGCTTAAAAATATTTCTATGCTGTAAGTGTACGTGTAAGCTGAAAGCACTAAAACCCATGTAAAAAGATAAAAATACAAAGAAAACAAGGAAAAAACTAAAAAAGGAATAGCATTTTCTAAAAATAAAAAAAAATATTAAAAAATTATTTTTAAAAAAAAAATTAAACGAAATATTAAGAAGCTAGAAAAATAAATAACGGAAAGATAAAATCTCACAATCAGCTCGCACGATTATATCGCAAATTAGAGTGCTTTATAAAATTGTATTAATATAGCCAAATTAAGAAATATGAACATAATAGTGTAATGAGTACCAAAAAAAATTGATGAAATAGATACAAAAATAAAACATATCAAGCAAAAAGCACAAAAAGACAAGAATTTTTTTTGTATTTTTGTGGTTTTTGCTTGATATATTTAGTTTTCGTATCGATTTCAAATCTTCTGTAGTTGTTTCTTACACTAATGTTTTAATATATTTCTCTTATGGCTATTGCATTATTAGATAGCCTTCTAATTGGCGGATATAATTGTAGGAGCTGACGACGAGATTTTATCTTTTCGTCATTTTGTTCTTAGTTTTTGAATTGTTTTTTACTTTCTGAAAAAAGAGAATTATTTTTTTAATTTTTATCATAATTTCTCTTTTTTTTTCATAAAATTTATGAATCCATATAAATCTTTTTCTCTCTCTCTTTCTCTCTCTCTCTCTCTATATATATATATATAGAGAGAGAGAGATAGATAGATAAAGAGTATATATGGAACGGTGAATGACCAAAATCTGGTGAATGTCAACAATCACCTAGTCATTTGGTGTATGTCCGAAATATTTGCTAAAAACCCTTACTTCTGACCTTCACCGGTGAATGTCAACAATCACATAGTCGCTTTGGTGAATGTCCGAAATATTCGTTATANCACTTAACCTTAAAAAACATCAGTGTAGGGTATACCGGGCAGTGGCACTTGACCTTAAAAAAACATCAGTGTAGGTATACCGGGCAAATGTATACCGGGCAGTGGCACTTAACCTTAAAAAAACATCAGTGTAGGGTATACCGTGGAAATGTATACCGTTCAGTGGCACTTAACCTTAAAAAAACATCAGTGTAAGGTATACCGGGCAAATGTATACGGGGCAGTGGCACTTAACCTTAAAAAACATCAGTGTAGAGTATACCGGGCAGTGGCACTTAACCTTAACTGGCTCGGTATACCCTACACTGATGTCTAATCTATCGTCAGTAAGTATTAAAATATACAATAAATATAAATATATCAAATAAATATAATAATATCAGGGAATAAATAAATATAAAATTGGATATAACAAATATTTCGGACATTCACATAAGCGAATATGTGATTGTTGACATGCACCTATGTGAGGGTCCGAATGTACAAGAATGTAATGAAATATTCGATCTTTCACCTACGTTTTTGGTGCTTCTCCAAATTCACCGGTGAAAGTCAACAACCACCTACTTCGGTCATAACATATATAAAATATAAAATATCTATCTATATAAAATTTTAAAAAATTACAAAGTCTCTTAAGCAACATTTATTAAGAAGAATTATTAATTTACATATTAATTATATTGTTGAATGGTGCTGATTCTAAATTATGAATTTTTACAGGTTTATTTCAACGTGCAATTCTTCAAAGTGGCTCTGCACTAAGTCCATGGGCTATCGCTAGGAACTCATTAGCTTATACGCGTCAAATAGCTAAGAACTTGAAGTGTCCAACAGAAGATAGTTCTGTTCTGGTGGAGTGTCTCCGTCAACGTCCAGCTCAAGATATTCTAAATGTTCACCTCAGTGTTCCCGATCATCTGTCTGCTTTTGGTCCCACAATAGACGGTGTTGTTGTACCAGGAGAGCCAGCCGATTTAATGGAAAGGCAAACTGACCACTTCGGTCAGTATGATTTGTTGTTTGGTATGACTAGGATAGAAGCATACGACCAGTTCTCCAGTGAGGAAGATAAATCTGGTATTGATGTCCTCAGAAGAGACCGTCTCTTAAGAACATTGGTCAGAAACTTGTTCACGTACCATTTACAAGAGATTTTTCTCACAGTAGTGAATGAATACACAGACTGGAGCAAACCGGACCAACACCCTATAAATGTTCTAGATTCTACAACTGATGCCATGAGTGATGCTTTAATTATTGCACCTTTGGTTAGAACTGGTAACTTTCATTCCAGGGTGCATTATCCCAAAAAACCTAAAACTTATCAGTACGTCTTTACTCACATGAGTGAAGAGGCTGGTTATGGTCAAAGGTTGGGTTGCGTTCACGGTGAAGATCTTGTTTACGTTTTTGGTGCACCTTTGGTCAGTTCGCTATCTTATTTTCCCAGAAATTTTTCGAAGCCTGAGAGTACCTTGTCTGAAGCTGTGATTCATTTCTGGAGCAACTTTGCCAAATATGGGTAAGAAAATTTAAGCTATGCAAATCGTTTAAATATACATTTATCAGCATTAATTTTCCTAGCAATATCTTACTTGAACTATAAAAAGAAATAAATCATTTTTACCACTTCGGTCCGTCGTAACTAAGGGATAGCAAATGTTTAACACTGTTGTGTTGTATAAATATTAACATAGATAATTTTTTTAAAAAATCTTTTTTTTAAGCAAAAGTATGTTTAAAAAAATACAAAAATGATTAGTTTTCCAGTTATAACAATATTTTTTTTAATAAAAAAGGGAGAGTAACCACTTAATAGCTGTGCTTTGCTAGTATGAGTAAATATCTATGACTTTTAAAGAATATGACAAAATTATGGCTAAAACAATTTGGAAAATATCTTGGGAAGCATTGCCAATTTAAAGAACATAATAACTTAAATTCGACACTGTTGAACTTTATTAAAAATCAGTGTTATGGCCCTTTAGTTGATATTTATAAATTGTTATAAATGCGTCTAAAATTTTAACAAAATGATTTTTTTTTACGGATTGTCAATTTTTTTAGCACTAACATTTGTAATGAAGCAATTATAAATTTTTAGTCTTGCAAACAAATTTTCGAGTTTTTTTTTTTTTTTTTTAANTTTTGAAAAATATTTATTTTAGCATAGTTACAGAATTAAAACAGGTTTAAACAGGTCAGTGGATAAAAATACTGTTTTGTAAGCGTGTGGATACATGATTCGAGTTTCATTTTACCTTTGACCTTTATCATAAAAGTTTGAAATTTTTATCAATCTAGGAAAAAAAAATTATATTTTGCAAGAAAAATAGTTTTTTTAGAATAAACTTTCTTTTCTCTAAATATGGTATTGGGCAACCTAAAAAACTGTGCTTAGGAATACTTTTTTCAAGCTTAACGCCAAAGTGAGCCTTCATATATGATATAAAAGATGTCATTTAATCTAATAACTTAAAATTGAATAATCTGACACGAAATTTTCCTGCTTTACTCTATATGATAATTATTCCCACTTCCAAAAATTCCACCGTTGGCACACTTTGAATATCAAAACTTAAAAAAAAAAGCCTATTAGAGCCTCGTGAGTAGTTTTCCTGATTATCTGGAATTAGCTGTTGAGGGTTTGTTGTCCTTTCCAAGTTCTAATAATCATCGAAATGTAAAGAAAATCACCGTTAAATATTTATGCATGTCTTTAGCTATGTATTAAGAATAATATATTTTAATTTTTAAATCGCGGAGATCTGATTTTTTAATGCATAATTTTCATCCGCTTTCGCTGCGTTATGTCTGGTTCCTATTTATCTTAAGATTCCTTAAGGGTTACACGGATTTTTGATTTACAAACTAATTTTAATTTAAGAATTAGAATATATATGCATTCCAAATTAATTGTTTTGCTTTATATTGTATTTTTTAAAATTTTATTTTATAATTGTCGTTGAAGAGTCGACCCAATTTTAGGTTTAAGACTAATAATGTTCAACTCCGTAGCTTTGTAATTTTGAACCCAATCCAGAAAGCAAAAGAACTTCTGGATCAAGTATTTGGAAAAATTTGCTTTCGTTGACGACTTTTGGTGGAACTAATCCGCATTTGCGTTACATTGAGAGTAAGACCACGAGAATCTCACACGGTTAGCCTGACGGCAAGGGGTCTCTAACTGTATACCACTGAGGATATTTCACGTCATCACTGTCGTTGTGTGCAAGCCGGATGCGAAATTCGTATCGACCAACCATCGCTGGGATTCGAACATGTTTCACCTCGCGCTCTAACTTCTGAGGCATCATGGCTCTTTATATTGTGTTGTAAAAGCAAGTTTACTGACCCTTATGTGCATCTTATATAACTGTTAAGATCAATTTAAGTATTGTTGAATAAGAAAAAGGCGATGGCTAATTTAAGCCAACCAGTGTAAGAGATCATTGGTGAAAGGCAACACCATAAATCCAACACTTATGTATTGCGTTTCACTACACCACTTTGGTGTAGAGTAATTGCCACTGATTTTGACATTTTTATAGTGTAGTGTAAAATTAGTATTTCTTAGGAAAAAAATCACTCTGCTTAGTAGAAATAAAAGCAAAATTTAAATTTATACTGAGAAAAATGATGATCAAAATTATCGGAATATGGTAAAATGTAGAGTATTTATGGATGTATAGGAACATCAAAAAGCTCAGTAATTTTTTTTAAATGAAGCGGATTGGTAATGATTTTTGTAAAATTTACAATAAAATACGGTTTAATAATACGTGATCAAACTTGGTTAATTTTGGTAAAATTAGATAATTTTATCACAGTGCTTTAAAACAAGGCATAAAAACTATTTACTCATTTTAATTTCGTCATTAATACTAATTGTGTGATAATAAGAATTATAATGTAGAAAACGAGAGTAACCCGAATGCAGTGCAAGGATTTCATTCGACATTGTTTCTCCCGGTAGTAATCTTAAAACTAATGTCAAGAAAAATAAATATTTTTAGTAGATAATGAAAAATAAAACTAACAAAAAACATTTGACTGAAAATGTAACAGTTCTTGCAAAATAACATACATTGAAGCCAATCTAGCTACAGTTTAATGGATACCAGCTATTCTGCGAAGTAAAGATTGTGCCCTTCTTTCCACATTGCCACAAATATATGTCTTTGTAGGCGTACCTGTAAAGCCATAACCTTCATAATCACAAGGCGCTGTTCCGGAACCACACACAATGCAACGAAAATCCTTTTTAATAAGATTACATGAAGTTACAAGAATGAGCATTTTTCTTCTTTTACTTACAAGAGCTTCAGAGATTTACAAAATCTGTAGAATTTAATTAAAAATTTCAATAAATTTGCATGGATTTAATAGTGGAAAAAATAGTTCTGTTTGTGGTTTTTTCGTTTGAAGCTGAAATTGCATTAGAATATCTTAGGATAGAATTACTTGTCTGAATTAGTAATTTTTGACCTTTTTTTGCAGAAATTTTTTAGAATATTTCAAATAAAAAAGTAGTAAATTTTTAATTACTCAAAAGAAAAAAAAATGAGTAAACAAATACCCCATTTTTTCATTTATTAAAATATTACTTATTTATTTGTTGCTAAAGTTCGCTCTCACTTTTTTATGCTCCTTACAAAAAGAACTTCACACGAATGTTCAATAGATTTTTTTTAATTTCGTTTTACTTGTTTTTAGAAGTTTCTGGTTTGTTTTAGTCCCAGTTTTTATTGGCAGCAAAAATCGTTATATCAGATGTACACGCGATCTTAACACTTCTTTTTTTTTCTTAATCGTGTCGGTGATCATTAGAACAACTTCGAAAAACCCACCAATACTGTTCTTTTTTTAGGTACTTAAGGCAACAGAATACTCATTTTAGTCTCCTTTGCCCTTAAGCTATTTTCCAGGATTGCGCCAATTCTTTTTTCATTCACTTTTTCTGCAAACAAGAGAGAGAATATTTTTTTGGTGACATTTGTTAAAAGAACTAATTCAATGTCCATTTTTCATTAAAAAGAGGTTTTTTTTCAACAACTGGTTTTCTAATAAAAATGAAAAGGAAGGCACTTAAAAGTGTTCTTTTTAAAAAAAATGAGATTTTTTTTTCTTTTTAGAAATGACACAGAATTTCTTCTTAAGTCTGCTTACATTTATAGAAAATGAAATGTAAATGTCGTAGAAAAGAAATGAGTTAAGATTAAAATGAAATGTATTTTAATTTTTTTTCATGGAAAGAATGAAATTAAGGTGTGTAATTTCATAGAACTAACGATCATAAATTAAAAAAAAGATGTTTGCATTCGAAAAAGACTGCCAGAACAATTTTTTTTATAAAGAAATGGTAGCATTATATTTTAAAAATAATCATTTTTATTATTATTCTTTTTTTTTTAATAAAACTGACATGAATAATGATTACTTTGTTCACATATTAACATGGTTTTATTTTATGTTTATGATTTTTTCAAAGCCATTATTTTATAAATTGGTAAATAGGAATATTTTTTTGGAATCTGTGAATTAGGTATCAGAAATATTAATTCTATTATTAATAGGAATCGCAATTTTACTTCAGTTATATGTAACACTCATTAGAAAATGCTTTCAAGCTTCATTAATTTTTTTCAATTTAAATACAATATTGTGTACATAATTAGCATGAAATGAAGAGTTTTCAATTAAAAAAGTTAAAAAAATCCCATTTTTAAACATATTTATTTCAATTAGTTATTTTTAACTGAATTGATTAAAAAAATCAATGATAACAATGAGATTTTTGGTAATATCTAAATTTAATTTCTAAAACAAACTTCAGCAGTTCTTGAATGGAAAATCTTTTGAAAAAAAAATTGCTAAAATGAAATCTATGATGGCGAAAAGAAAATATTAATATTTTGTGCATTATTAATTTATGTGGTTATAATATCAACTTAATTATATTAAACTGTGTCTAAACATTATACTTGCGAAAATGATTTAATATAAAATAATAAATTTGATTAGTAAGAAGCTTTTGATTTTCAGTATTTAAAGACCTTATTTTAGCTTAAATTTTTTCTGACATAGAAATCTATTAAAGTTCATATTATTCTGCTGAAAAAGTCCTAAGAATCGAAAAAAATGCAAATACTTTAGGAATTTTATTTTAAATGTTAAAGTATTATTTCTTTTAATATGTCATAACAGTTACTCATTACAATATTTACGTTAAACATGTCAACTTCAGTTTATGTTTTATGATAATCAGTAGTCAAACATGACAAAGCTCCTATTTCTAAATTCATTAGACCTGATGGACACTTATTATTAATGAATCTGTGCAGCTTTTCGTACTAATATTGATTTTGACGCGTTAGGTTTTGATTAATTAGACACAATTCCTTAAAAAGTATAGAGTTCATGTATTTATTATTTTTCTTCATGTTTCATTTACTCACAGAAATATATATTTATTGTTAATATATAAAAACGTATTTGAAATATTTTATTTATTTGTGAGTGTGTGTTTTAATTTCAGAATAATTTCTTTGAAAGTGTAAAATGAAGCAAACAAAATTTTCGCAAGTGAGAAGAATAAGTAAGAATGTTTTGCAGAATAAACAGAAAGGAATATTTTCGAAAATAAAAACAGATATTCTTAATGGATAAGTACTACTGATTCAAAGGATCTAAACTAATAAGTATTTTAGTTTGTGTCAAATATGATTGAATTTTTTTGTTTTTAACTCTTAATTAGTAAATTGTTTAAAAATTTGCGAATGATAAATTTATTTTTTGTGAATTACTATTTTTGGATTTATATTTTGTGAGATATATTATAGAAATTCTGACCGTGAAAGAGTTCCTTTTGTATGTTTTTTTTATTTTACCTTATATTTATATGCTATTATAGCTTAATTGCGAAATATTTATCAAATATATAAATTTGTGCAAGAATTAATTATTTAAATTTTAATAATGCATTTTTACATTTTTTTTTCAGGAATCCTAATGATCCATTTCAAGAAAACGAAATCAATGAAAAAAGTAGAGGTAAACCTGAGAAACTTTGGTGGCCTGAATATAATGATACTCATCAAAAATACTTATCAATAGGTAAGGTACAATCGATATTCTTCTGAAATACAAAACAAAAAACAAAATATTAAGTTATTTTGAAAACACAAAAATCTCTCACCATGTTCTATTTATTCTTTTAATTATTTTAAAAATACTATTTAATGTTTCTCTTTTAAATACCATAAAAGATATTTTTGTATATTAAATTAGAAACTAATATAAGTTTTCCATTCTCTTATTCAAATTATTCTCTTCAAATTACTCTCTTCAAATTATTCTAAAATGTTTCTCTTATTGGATTTCAAATTATTCTGAAATGTCTTTTTTAAAATATTTTCTTATTTAATATTTCAGCAGACTCATTTAAAAATGTATAAAATATAATTTGTAACATAAATTTTTATTTTAAAAGTTTTAAAACTTTCTCAGAAAATATTAATGAACATTTTGTGTTAACATTTTTTATGTTTTGTTTTAAATATTTTCTTACACAATGACTACTAAGGGAGATAAGACCTGGCTTACCTAAATAAGAATTTTGGCAGTTCCCACGAAAAAAAGAAAGTGAAGAATTAACTAAGATATTTAGAATAAGATCAAGATATTAAGAATACGAAAACTTTCTAAGATATTAAGAATAAGATCAAGAACAAAACATTGAATGACAAAATTGTATTTGAATTGTTCGTTTTACTGCAATAATATAAATTCATATCTGTTATTTTTCATTAATGAAGAAAACATTTCATAATTCATAAAAACTAATTATTCATGCGGAATTTCTTCAGATATTTCACTATTTTATTTTAATCACATTTTATAACTTGTTTGATTCCGAGAACCTAATCATTATATTGTTTTGGGAGATTCAGTACAGTATTTATGCTCTTAAACAACCATTAATAAAAACTATTAATAAAAAGGGTAGTTCACAGGGGTATACAAGGGCGGGATTAAAAATAGGGTAAGGAAAGAAATTAATGACATTAAGAGGAGTTGGAGGGGCATATACATACAATGCAAAAAATGACCGTTTCCGATGCACCTTGTCTCAGCAACTCAACAAGATATTGCTTCAGTTTTTTTTTCGAAGAATATTTACATGTACATGTTTTCACTGTGATAAGTGTTATTACTTACATTTGGAATTACGGACTGCGAAGTTTTAATTATTTAAGCACTTTCATCATATTTCTGCAGAAATCTTTCATAACTCAAAAAATATCCCTGTTAACGTGCTTAAACAGTATAGTATCACAGCATTGAAATTTCGAAACTATATCATAAGTAGTTAGAAAAAGTATATCAAAAAAGGTCAGTTTTAGCATTATTGATATATGCTACTGACTATANTTAATATTAGTTGAGATGTATATTATTTAATAAAAAAAATTGTTTATTAATTTTAAAAGAATTGAAAAAAGCTTTAAAATTTTATTCAAAGTCTCATCTTATGTCTATCTCATCATATATGTTAGAAACTGTTTACCAAAATATTAAATTTTTGGAATTGTTTACTCATCTTATAATATTATAATATTTAAATCCTTTGAGAGAATCAAACGTATTTATAGTAGATAAATATTAAAATACATTAAAATTGTTTTGTAACAACAGATTCTAAGAAGCTCACAATGTTTAAACTATTTAAATTTAGAAATACGTCAAATACTGTTATTAAAATTACTTGAAGTAATATTTGTGGTAACTATTATTTTTTCTAAGCTAGTGTTGAGTTTTTTTTAAAACAACTTCAAAACAACTATTGTAAAGTATAATTTCTAATTTAAATTCACATTCCTTACTAGGTAATATTTAATATCTCTGAAGGAAATTGAATAATATCGAAGCATGAAAATTAATAAACATAGTATATTAAATTATGAAAAATAGAGGTTTGGATGTGCTATATTAATATAGGTTGTTTGAAAATGCGCCTTTTATGTTACCCTGATTTGTGTCAATGCCATAATTCGCCATGAAAAAAATTATCAATTGAGAACTGCTTTTTAAATTTACAAATATTAAGAGAACGAGAAGAACTTTATCGAAAAAAGTAGAAAAAGAACTTCTAAGTATATTTAAAAGTTTACTTTCTTTTTTTTTATTTTTACTGTTTTCAATAGCAAAAAATAACTGACATATTTTGTAAACGTAGTGATTTATTATGTAAATTTGATATATGATGTGTTTGTACACAATGTAAACTTATTTCTCAAATAAATCTCTGCATGCACAAAGAGCTTCAGTTCTCTGAGCCACGTAGGAGAATGCGATAGAATAGCACTGTTTTTTGCTCTTCAGACCAGTACAAGAGATCTGAAAAAATGTTAATTTGCTGAAACTAGCTCTTAAATATATATTTTTTATAGATTTTTCGCACCGACAGAAAAATAAGAAACTATTTTTCATTTCAGATTTCGTCAACTGTAGTTTGTTTGTAGTTAGTCCTTTCTGCATGCAGCAAGTTAATTTTTTAAACTCCCATTTCAATTGTAAATATAAAATTTGTTGCTTTTACTACAACACAACTTGTAATTTATGAGTTAAGAGCTCTCTAACCCAGCAATCTTGAATTTTAGGTTAAGTTTTTAATTTTTTGTTTTCTGGATATTTTTTATACTTACCAAACTTTTGATTATATAGTTCTTTTAGACAGCACAATACCTTACAAAAAGGCAGGAAATAAAGGGATCGCTGTATTAGATTAAAAGAAATGGCGTTTGATGATTTTCAGAATTATTATAAATTTTTCATTAGGACTTCATTGGGATTATGATTTTTATGGTTTTAAGTTAGTAATTTCAATATACATGTTTACAAGTTATAATTAATTTTATTATCGTTAAAGTATATAGTTATTAGTACTAACTTTATTATTGTTAAAATTGAGAAAAAATTATTCTGATGATGCTATAAAACTCCTTGAACGTTAATGTCATAAAATATTCATTTGAAACCTAAAAACATGCAAGTGTATACTACTTAACTATCCATTAAAAACTGTTGATTTCAGAATTATATGGTCATAATTTTTTTGCAAAAAAGAATAGAGAATCAAAAATATCGCACGCTTTGTATCTCAAATTATAATTGGGTGGAGGCCTTGCATTTCATATGTAGCAAAAATTACTGTCAAATAGAGTAAATATACACCATCAGTTTATTTGCGACAGTTAAATAGGAAGATTAAAGGCATTATTAGACTATTTAGATCGGGAGAGGAAAGACTTGTTAAAGATGAAGTTTATAGAATATTAAATTTGAATCCTTTAAAAATATTGGCAAAAGTACATATTGATTATGTCAAATTGTTTAAAAGAAAAGAAAAGCATTACTATTAGTAAAGTAGTAACTGTTTCTTTCTCACTATCTGCGTTCTATGCCCTTTCTCCTTTGTGTGAGAATGTGACCCGCCCTATAAACGGGTTGTGGTAGTGTGACGTGGGCGACGCTGCTCCACCGCCGTGGCTTCGCCACAGGTGCCCACTGGGTCACGAAAGGAGAGTTAGCAGTTCTGGCACTTTATGTGGCCAATGGACAATAGTTCCAAGTGCCTGCCATTAAAAAAAAAAGAAAAGAAAAACTATTAGTGAAGAAAAATGTGTTTAGTAGAATGCTGAGCTACAATTTTAAAATTTTAGCGAATATATAATATTTTTTTAATATTTTAGTCACATTTAAATGGATAATAACATAAATGCATATTTCGAACAATTAGGATCTATAAAGAGACAAAGGTCTCTTAAAAACCAAATTTATAGATTATTTAATTTAAACCATTTTGAACTAATTGTATAAGTAGGTATTTATTATTTCAAACTGTTTAGAAGGGAAAAAACATTGCGTTTATAAAGTAAAATGAGTATAGGGGACCTCAATTTTTAAATTTTAATGAGTATTTAATGTTTCGTTTACAATTTAGTCACTTTTAGATAAATAACAAGAAATTTGATTTGTTTACAGGTCTGAAACCAAAACTACGCGATCACTACCACGCTCACAGATTATCTTTTTGGTTGAATCTCATCCCAACACTTCACAGAGCTGCTGCTTCCGAAGCTACTACAAGCCATCATCTCTTAGAAGACCATGATAATCCACATACCTATGATGGAATTGTTAGAAGCAGAAGTCCAGGTGACATAGTTGTTATGACAACAACATCAACAATGCCACCACTTCCATCAACTACCACCAAGGGTGGTGGAATCAACACCAGTGCATATGCTACTTTAATAATATTAGAAGAGAGGCCAACTGCGGCCACTAAGTCCATGAATATATCTGATTCTCTCGCCATGATCTTCCAACAGGGGGCTTACTCAACTGCATTGACTGTCACAATAGGCATAGGCTGTTCTCTTCTCATTTTGAACATAATCATATTTGCTGGTGTTTATATGAACAGAGAAAGAACAATTCAACATCATGTAGATTATAAAGAGAGATCTTAACGCATGAAAACAGAGACAAAGAAAAAAATCCAAATAAACTAAATAAACTGGTATAGTGAGCTGCTTAACTCAGAAGCTTACTTTTATGGTTGCTTGATTGGTGACCATTGGCGAGCAAAATTTTTTATTGCAAAACTCTTTTGCAAATAAAATATGGAAAAGCAAACATGTATTATAAATAAGCTGTGCTATTTTATTGTGGTATAAAATGAACAAGAGAATAGGTAACATAAAAATAAAAGCGAATAGAAATTGAAGCTTTGCATATCGAGACACCATTCTCAAATTATGCTATCAAATGCTGAACTTTTATTAAAAAACAGTGCTTATTTAACATGAATTTTATACGTTTTGGTTCGAAATAAAATATTTGTAACCATGCAATACTTAAAAAGTTTGTGTCTTGCTCCCGTATTGTACATATGAAAGTGAAGTTTTATTCTGTACCATGTACATATAAGAACACTCATGTGTTAAGGGGAATTAAAAATCAATTTCAGTTGAAAACATATATTCAAACATATACAGCGATGTTAAAAATGATGGTCCTTGTAAGTGATATAAATTATATCTTTTGATTTCAATTGGATTGTTATTCGAATGTTTCAAATTTGTTACAAAATCTGGATTTGTTAAAAAAAATGACTATTCATTTGTTTAATAAAATGTTTGTTGAAAATTAGGCTTTCTTGTATTATATTTAAATGACTATGATGCAATTTGAGCTTGGAGTAATGTAGTGATAAGCTGCACTTACTCTAAAAAAGAGAACATTTTTACATGACTAAGTATTGTTTTACAGATTACTTGACAATTTTCTTCAATTTTAAGTATTACATTTACATAACTGCGTATTATTTGCACTTTGTTTTATTATAAATTGCATTTTAAAACCAGTTTTGAAACTTCAATAAAAGTAAGTTATCTTTTCGTCTATCAAAACTAAATTATACAATTATAATTAGAGGAAATGCAAGGATGATAATGAAAAAATTAAATGCTTTATTTATATATTTATAAAAAACATGGAAAATAATTTTATTCGAAGTAAGAATTAAATTTTTTAATCTAAATTAATATTTTATTTGTTTATTTTTATAAAAAAATATTTTGTATTTACTTTCATTTTAGGTTTTTAAAATTGAGAATTTAGAATATTATTAAAAACATTAGAATTTAAAAAGCATTCGACACACTTACATAATGATATGCATTATGTACATAATTTTAATGCATTAATAAAACAATTTTCGTGCTATGCAATGTTAATTAGTTTCAATGAGGTAAAGCTATTTTAAGCAGAACATAAGCATTTAAAAAAACAAATTAAAATGCTTAATTGGTCAATATAAAAGAACAAAGAAATTTAATTTTTTGTTGAAGCATAATTTTGAATTGAGATTTAGAAAAAATAATTGAACATATTAATTAAAATTAAATAATTACTTATTTAAAAACTTATCGACATCCTTAAAATTAATTATTTACCATATATAAAATCTTAAATGCAGTATATTTTTTCCGTACGTATATTATATACTGATTTTTAGAGTAACATTATGAGATGTTTAATTCTCCTAAAAAATATGAGATTGGTTTGAAAAATTCTATGGAATTTTCATTTGCATTTAAAATTGCATAATTGATCTAAATAAAAAATATTTAGTGCTGAAATACTTACACAATAGAATAAAAACACGATGCATTATAATTGTAGTAGATATTAAACACATGATAAATAAATTTCAGATTTAAGTAATTTATTTCGTTGATGCCTAGTTAAGTTATTTATTTAGATATTAAGTTGTCCGGGAATGTTTTCATATTGTAATTTTTTTTTCATTCCAATACTCGTATGTCACTTTCTTAAGCTAATCTCTAATATTTTCTAATCTTATATTTTTTTTACATACAGTTTTGTTTCATATTATTAGATTTGCTGAAACAAAGGGAAATAATTTTTACACATTAAAGTTCTGATATGCATTATTTGAATTTTTTTATTATAGTTATTGCATTTTAACCACTTTTTTGAAAAGAATTTAAATATATATTTCTCTTGGTTTTAAATAATGATCATAAAACTAAAGATAATTAAATAAAACATTTTACTTACAGATTCATGCCGTGATGATGATGCCGTGCATTACATGTTAGATAAATAATAGCTAATTTTAACTAAGTATAAACTTATGCCAATATGACAAATTAGTTTCCTAATTCATTTATGAAAGAAGGCGAAAACAGCGAGATGCATATTAAATATTACATAACAAAAAAAATTATTTGCGAAATTTGAAAAAAGAAGGTTTTGAGGTTGCTTGAATTGAATCTTGAAAATTGGCATGTTCGATTTGAAATTGGCAGGAACCTTGGAAATCGGCAAGGCGAAGATTTAACTGTATGAGGTTTAAGATGGCGGGTTTATGTTTATTTTAATGAGAATAATGAGCAAAATTATAAGGTGTAAGAAATTATTAGGTAAGCTTAAATTATAACGGGTAAGAAAATCTTTAGAAGCCAACAGTTAGTGATATAAATTGAAAATAAAATATAAAAGGAAATGGTTAAGGCCTTATTCAAATTAAATAGAATTTCTTTTAAATGAAAGAGAAATTTAATGAATAAATATGGCTGAATATTTTTTCAATACGGCGCTGTTTATTGAAGTTTTACTTTTCCTTGGTTATCACTAGCGGATACCAATATTACTTTACAATCAATATCGTGTCTTAGAGATAAAAGGAATTATAAACTTAAATTTAAAATTATATAATTAAAGGTTCTCAAAAGGTTTAATTCTTTTAACACAAATTTGGCTCCACGGATATATTTTTCGATTCTTATAGTAAAAATCACATTTAATTACTTAGCTCGTTGTCACTGCAATTTCCTTCATAAACTTCTATTTCAAATATTTATTTAATTTCCGGTTACTATACTGCATATTTTTTGCCCTAGTGTTTAAATAAAGTTAATTTCTAGCATTTATTTAAACCTTTAATTATTTTAATAGTTTACTGAATATTTCATTGTATATAGTTTGACATTAAATATATTATAAAAATAAATCAAACTTAGCTTTAGGATAAAAGGTGAGTACATGAGTTGGCGTGAGAGAATGACATCTGATAGGTCTATAAGCATATAGATACATGCAATATTTCCCAAACGACACTACACGGTTTACTTTGAAACTGTAGTACTCGTGGCTGCAGGTAGCTGACAAGACTAGCCGGATTACAAGCTCCATCTGTTTTGGCTGTTACTGTCGATTACCGGTCTTCATTTGGCATTGTAACTTGGGGGGGGGGCTGTATTGTAACGTGTACTTAAAATTCGATCATCTTGGAATTGTTTCCAAAGCCTTGAGATGACACTAATGTGGGGGCGGAGTTATCGACAATGCCAACCTTCATTTATCAAAAGGTACCTCGTGATTGAATCGAGTTAGCATGTCTTATATACCAGTGAATTGCTGTTTAATATTCGTTAGTGATAGTTACGCCATAATACTCCCCCCACCAGAATTTTATCAGGGATAGAATTCGATGAACAGATACCACTGGTTGTTGTACTTGTGAAAGACCGGGAGAGATTGTCACCGGGTGTTTGAATGCTGAAAGTGAGAGGTGCATTAACTTCACAGTCGTAGTCGCTCCTGTGTTGCCATTAGCAGTTGAGTGTATGCAGGCTGACGTTGTGTTAAATCGAGACGAGACTGAGTAGCAACAGCGTGAGGAGGATTGGATAATGTCACATTCACAAGTAGCAAGTCAACTGTTTAATGTGGTCTATCCATCGACAGCGTCATCCAGTCTATCTACAGTGAAGTGGGCGTTACTGCGTGTGCAAATCATGTCCGGAAGTCACCAATGTGGGGGTGGAGTTAACGACCATGCCAACCTTCATCTATCAAAAGGTACCTCGTGATTGAATCGAGTGAGCATGTTTTATATACCAGTGAATTGATGCTTAACATTCGTAGGGGTAGTTACGCCACACTAAGTTCAATTCCAAGTTCCTCAGATAATTCCATTTAGGTACAACCAAATTCAAGGATCTTGATAATTCTACCATGTAAAATAAAATCCACATGCTTTCTCTGTGTTATAAGTATTCCATATGGAATGTGTCATAATCTAAATGACTTACACAACTCTTGTGAACAATTTTACTTCCTTTCCAACTTTTATTAAATCTGGTGGCATATGTATTATGGTGGCATATCTATGGTGGCATATCTATTATGGTGGCATATCTATGGTGGCATATCTATTATAGTGGCATATCTATTATGGTGGCATATCTATGGTGGCTAATATTCTACTAGTGAAATATTTACTTCAATTCAATTTTGGTGTGATTCTGAATTATCCTTAATTCATGGGCATGAATGCAGAAAACGATATTTTTGTGCATTTAATCCACTGGTCTGATGACGAGGTAGAATCTTTCCATTGTTAAATTTTCTACAATAATAATATTAGAAAAGAAAGAAATAACCAGATATTTATATTCATTGAAGCATTCTACTTCAATAAAATATTATCACTTGAAACATACAATAAATGCAAATTTCCGACAAAATATTGAGTTAGCTAATACTTCTAAACAATTCTTTTTGTCATAATCATTTCAAGAATAAAGTTACGCTTTGTGAAAATAATTAAAACCACTTATTAATTTTCGACATCATTTTGTCAATAACATTCTAAATATAGCTTTATTCACATTTTTATGAGCAGTATAACTATGTATAGGGTACTTTTTTTTAAAGAGGTTAATTTTTCCAAACTTATACTTGAAAAGATCTAACTGATTAAACTAATTTATAAACTCTTTAAAATCTAATAGTTATATATATAAACTTTGAATTTGTTAAAAGTTTTTATAAATTATATTTAAAAAATAGTTTTATATAAATAGCATAGCTTTGGAAGCAAAATTTATTTTCATAGCCTATTCTTTTAAACAATTTTTTTAAATGAATTTCACAAAACATTTCACGACAGTTTAAATGCAATTCCTGTTGCTGTTTATACAAGCAGGTATATTTAAACGTTAATAAAGAGGAGATTAGACGTTCTAGATTCAACCATACATATTTAATATTTACAAACACTAACAACTGAAATTTTAGAGATTTAAATCTTAAAGTACGTTACGTTGACGTAAATTATGATTACTAGGTTCAGCGCTTGGTTACCATCCCAAAAAGGCATTTTATCATACTTTAAGTCAGTACAAAATGGTAAGTTCACAGCCTAAGCATATTAATTAGAAGAATAAGCTCGGTGGAATATAAAATTTATAAATTCACGTATTTATTTTTAGGAATTATTCGAACTAAGTTTGAAAATTACGTAGTTTATAGAACCGTAACTTAGTTAATTTAAGATAAAGAATTTAGAAAGCATTTTATCAATATTTTTTATAAACTTATAACAAACAATTCCACGTTATAAATAAACATCGCCTTACTTATAAAAATTATTAATATACTGTTAACTAATTTTATAATTTTTCCAAATATATGTGATTTCACGAATAGAAAAAGTAGTAATTTTCTACATGAGTTAATTTAGTTTCTTAAATTTTAAATGAGAGGAATACTCGTAATATTTTTTAAATTACAAGCTATAATATTTTGGAAAGATTCCTTGATTTATACATATTAAAGCACATT